CCTATAATTATCAAAAAAACACAAAATAAGTAAAAATAAGTATTTATATTTGTGTACAAGCTGTTTAGATTGTCAAAAATCCTGTGTTTTTAGGGTTATTAACAAAGTTCATGTACTCAGACCAGTAATATTTGGGGTCACAAGTTTTTGCCATGGATATTTTGTGGGTCAGAAGACAAAATGTTTGGGAACCACTGGTATAAGAATTCCTCTGATATATGCTTTTAGATCTTCCCAAGCTGCACCAGCAGAGGGAGCTGTACTGAGATTAGTCTCTATAAATAAGTTGAGTTCCTAAGGAGTTAGGTCATTTTGACCAAATTTGACTTCATCCTCATTTTGATATGATGGGTCACAAATATTGTAAGAACACCTGCAGAGATAGAACATCTCCATTGCATTTAAACTACTCGAACACCTGGCCATTACACATGAATGATTTTTGGAAATGTTATGTAATTTAAGGTATATTTTATTGTTGATTGTGGCATGGAAAAAATAACAACTAACTAAATTAAATACAAATAGTTTTGCTCGTTGAATTTGCTGTAGTTTTCATGCCAGGCAGAGTTGCTATATACAAAATAAACTGTACAGTTGCTTTGAAATTGTTGTAAGTTGTTCCAAACATCACATATGCTGAGTGGGGGTGCCTGTTCTCCACCAATGAGGGGGATGGGAGAGGCTGTAAGATGAAGTGTGTGTTGTGACTGGCCAACATGCCCACAGAAAGGGAGGGGGCTTGAGCTTAAAGGGTAATTATCTCATATCTGTCGGCATTGATGGTTGATGGTTCCAGATTTTCAATGAGACCTGCAGCAGACAGTTCAGTCTCAAGCATGAAAASAGTTTCATCCAAACGGGTGAATACAAAAACCTTAATTTGTACTGAGGATGAGGGTGTTTTGCTCCTACCTGTTGAAAAGGATGAGTAACACAAATGAAACTCTGGTATCACCAGTTGTTATTGTTCTACTCGCACAAGCACAGAAAATSTACTGACTGCAGCCATCCTTAGTGTGTATGTAAACCCTACACTCTGAGATTCAAAAAGCTTGTTTCAGAGAAAACAAGCATGGGGCTGGTGTACGCCAAAACCAACAGAAATACTATGATTTTAATCAAAATAAGCATTTAGTAAACTAGGCCAAAGAGGTGGATACTTTTCTTCTTTTATTGTACGACTATTTATTAGGAGTAAAAACAGGATAATTGGTAAATATCTCATGTGAAAATGCATATTTATTTTGTGTTTTACACAGAACTACACCAAAGACGTATAAAAAGTAAAATACTGAAAACTCTTAGATCATGACCTGATCAGTTGACACATTTCTCTGGAATAAGCATCGAATTTTACCATCTGTGGCACAACACTTGTGAAACTTCATACATGTATATAAATACAATAGTATCTGCTTTTCTTTATATTTGTACATTAATGTTTATGTAGAGCCAAATCCTGGATTTGGGAAGCTTCTAGTCTGAGCTTCTGGTTCATCTGTCTCAGCGAAATCTTCAGGGTCAAGATCTTCTTCGAACATTCGCTGCAGCAAAGCGTCCACTGTCCGGTATCCTGACACAAAACAACAACCAACATAGTGACTACCATGCACCTGTGGTATTCTTTGTTTCGATTTTAACACTTTGTCAGTTTATGAAAAATAAACAGTCTGTTCAGCAGCTGAGAAACAYTAATCAGGGAAAAGTCAATTTTCAAAAGCCTTTTCAAAATATTGTCAAAAATCACTTTCACAAAAAAGTGGTTTTGCTAGCATCAACGTACTTTTTGAAGCGATTTTAAACATTAGGTTTGGTAGTTTGGCTGTTGTCGATGGCTGCCCAGTTCCCAGGTCGTTGTCAATGGTTTCCATATTATTCACCAAGTTGTCCTCAAGTTTCTCCCTGGTTAAAGAAAATACAGACGATGAATGATTGATTGATGGAAAGAAGTTTAAAAGACATGGAGGACATTTTTCAGTAATAAAAATAAAACTTTTATACAAAGAAAATAAAATTTTAATATATAGCCTATAAACAGTACATATGTGCACATTATGAGTGACGGAAAATGACCACAACATGATAACAGCTAGACAAAAATACAGTTGGGTGTGAAAGTTTGGGCAGCYTTGTTAATTCTCCTCATTCATAAATCATTGATTGTTTGGGTTGTTGGGTTGGGAGGTAAACTGATTTTATTCACCRCCTGATTTTAATCAATTGGGAGGTGAACTTTTGTGTGGAGTTAACATGTTTTCCCCTAAGAAGGCGTTTTTTTTTTCTGGGTTCCCGACACAGATAAAAAAACATGCCTGTTAGGTTAACTGGCWACTCTAAACTGGCAACAGAAAATGTGAATGGTTGTTTGTCTCTGTGTATTCCTGGGATGGACTTGAGTCCTTTCCAGGGTGTACCCTGCTCCTTGCACAATGATTGATGGAGATAGGCACCAGTGTTGTTTTTGACAGCCATTTTAATTTTAGTCTTAGTCCTTTGAACGAAAATACTTCTTAGTTTTAGTCAGTTTTAGTCATTTCTATATTTAATAGTTTAATCCAGTTTTAGTCGACGAAAACTTAAAAAAAGTTTAATTTTAGTCTTAAAAAAACAACAACATATTAGTCTTTACAAATTAATTTGAGTAATGTGTGTTAACATTTGTGAATTTGTGTTACTCTAAAAATGCCCAAAACAAAAATATTCTCACTTTGTGGCTTTATTTCTCAGTTTTAGTCATTTCTATATTTATCCAGTTTTAGTCGACGGAAACTTAAAAAAAATGTTTAGTTTTAGTCTTAAAACAACAACATATTAGTCTTTACAAATTAATTTGAGTAATGTGTGTTAACATTTGTGAATTTGTGTAATTTGTGTTACTCTAAAATTGCCCGAAACAAAAACATTCTCACTTTGTGGATTTATTTCTCAGAATTTGCTAAAGTTCAATGAACATACACAACACACATACCCAATAATATAAACAATAAAGGGGAACACATGTTCAACTCAAATTTGATGTATCTTATTTATCAAAACAGACATCATGCAGTCCTAAACTTAGTAGACTATTAAACTTGTGCAAACGAGTGTTTACATGCACCAGGCTTTTATTCTGAAAAGAAGCACTGACAACTCCCCCTCATCAAAAAAATTAAACAGAGAAGAGTTTTACTTTCGTAATGAACGTAAACAAACAGTTTCTGAGCTCAGAATGGACCTGCGACAGCTTTTAATGGTGGAGACGTTACTCCCTGGTTAAGCTACAGGTGAAGGACGGACTTTTTTTCTTTTTTTGTGAAGCGGCGCAGGCTGTAAGAGAACGGGAGGAAAAGGTATGTGCTGTTGTGTGTGCGTGCATGTGTTAACAGGCTGCTGTCCCTCCCTCCACTCTGAATTCTAAATGATTGACAGACCACCGACTAACATTTTCCTTCAGTCTCGTCAACGAAAACTCACACAATTTTTGTCACGTCTTAGTCAAAGAACTATGTTTATTTCATTACCGTCTCATTTTCGTCATGAAAAAAGGGGGCGTCAACGAAAATATTTCGTCACCGTTAACGAAAACAACACTGATAGGCACCACTTCCCCTGCCACCAGAAAGCAGGTAAAAGAAGATGCACAGCAGTAGTAGTACCATGCCATATTCAGTCACAAATTGATGACCAGTTAGAACTTCAGCAATTGGTTTTCACCTCATCTGAATGCATTTAATTGCTGTTATGTGATTGACATGCATTTAATGGTGGAACACTATGTTATACACTCACCGGCCACTTTATTAGGTACACCTGTCCAACTGCTCGTTAACACTTAATTTCTAATCAGCCAATCACATGGCGGCAACTCAG